TACTAAGAAAGAAGGGACGAAAACTAACTACGGTAACCGTAAAACTAAACCTTAACGTACCGTAAACTTTAACTTACGTTAAATAAGGGTTGGTCGTCTCCTCCATCTCTACACACCTCTCTCTCTCATAACTCTCTCTCTCTCTTCTTTAGGGGCCACGCCTCTCTCTACTATCTGATTTTCTCTATTCACTCTCCTAAAAAGACCCTAGGGGGCACGCCTCAACATAGACTCTCTCTCTCTCTCTCATGATCTAATCTAAAAGTTGGAAAATTTAGGGTTTGAGCCTAATTATTTTGGAGTTAGGGTTTTGTAGAGATTTAAGGGTGGTTACCTAGTTTGGCCGAAATCAGCTTTCTCGGTTCGAGATTGAAGCTAGATTGTTGATCCCGTGCCATTGGATGTGGCAACTCGATATGAGGTGTAAAAAGCCCGGTTGAGGTAATTTTCGGCATTTTTTCTTTTAATTGTTTGTTCATTTATTTTATATTCTCAAGCACAGTATTAGATTGTATGAATAGCATCAAGTAGTTGAGATTTATTTTGTTGATGTGTTATTTATTTTTAGAATTTCTATTATTTGTAATAAGACCACCTGTGAGTGATCTTGTTGCCAAAATTATAAGGGGTGATGATTATTAAAAAACAAAAAAATGTATTTCTCCAGCAAAAGATTACATAGGTCTTTCTTTCACAACGAGCCGAGCCATCTTTGGCCCTTTTTGGTTTTTTTTGGTAAATGGGTTTTTGGGTAAATATGTGATAATTGGTCCTGGCAAGCCCCTTATCCCCATAGGGTCGTCCTTGGCCTTGTTAGAGCCAGGCCAGGTCAAAACAAATGAAGTAAAAAAAGGAAAAAGAAAAAAAAGACGATCAGGCCAGGCCGAACTTGGCTGGTATTGGGTCTAGCCCAGCCCTCAAGCCATAGTTTGTGGAGCAGGTCTTACTATTCTAAGCGCCAGAATAATGGGGCCAGACCGGGCAGCCCGGCCCATTGCCAGCCATAGTACCCGGTAAATTGACGAGTTCTCGAGTCAAGGGCTTATTATTGCTAATTTTTAAAGAAAAACACTTACAAATATTTGAAGATAGAAAAGAGACAGGAAGGCGTGTGGACTAGCGTGTACGATTCGTTTTGTTCATGTATATTTTCTGTCGAGAGAGAGAGAGATGTCTTTAGGAAAGTAAATGATTTGGCGGATGCGTTAGCAAACAAAAAGATCTTCTCTTGTTGAGTTGGTGATCCGTGTCCTTATGATCTGATTTTTGTAACTCTATTAATAAAAGCATGAAATATGATAAAAAAAAAAGAAAACGGAAAAAACGAGACCAAAACCAGAAAAAAGAGACACTGAGAAGAGAGATGGGTATGCACTCAAGCGTATGGTTCTAAAGTATTCAAAGTTTGCATTCTCTTCTTCTCAACAGTCTCTTTAGAGTGAGGTTTCATGCACCAAGTTGTCAATGCCCCCTCCCAACGACTTCCACTTCAAATAAAAAATTGGCACTTAAATAAAAGGAAAACGAGTTTTGTGCCCTTGCAATAATTTTCAATTAGGATGAGACTTTTTAGGTCACAATTACTATTATTTGTCGGATTTTAAATTGAGTGGTTACAAAAATGCCATTGACTAGGCTCAAGAAATAACAATTTTTTTTGAAATTGATGACACATCCTAACCATCCGTATACCATTAGTCTTTCTCATTACATGCTGATATTAATACAAATAAAACTAATGATATCCTCATAGTTTAATTAAGATAATATGTGACTAATTTTTTACAATTCTTCAATTTTATCATCTTACATTTTATTTACTCTTATCTCACTCCATTTGAGTTCCCATTGATGGCTATAGGAAGTGAGAGGAAGTGATAGGAAATAGGGTTTGTGAATTAATGCAACAAGCGTGGAAGTAGACTTTTATTTTATTTTTTCCTTTCAGATAATTTAGTTGTAGGAATCGAACTCGAGATATAATATTGCTAATATCAACAGCCAACCATTCTATGCCCAAGTCAGACTTCTTGTTTTCACTATTTCTAATGTGCTTTCTCCTTGGCACCCATTTGGGCTTAAAAATCGGGTTCAACCGACATGTTGAGTGGACTTGACTTGGATTTGCGTCATGACATGCCAAGTAGACCCAACACACTAGGATTAACATGAACCCTCCAAATTGAAACATGTATATATGAAAAAAGATTGTTTACAAAGAGAACATTTATCTGTTACATATGGAGATTTATTAGATAACAAATTGGATGGCTTGTGGTGAGTTATTGTGGTGAGTTACAAAGGTCAATTTTTTTTTTTTTTTAGAACTTTGTGTCTATGACACTTGTACAACTACCCATTTTGAAATTTAAAGACAAGAATGATTGTAACCTCCATGCAAAACAGATAAATTATCTATTTGTAGACAATCCCATATAAAAAATTATGTGTGTGAATGTGTATGTCTGTGTATAATATATATAATACATATAATATACTTTACATAGTTATTATATGATACGATTTGATTTTCATCCGGACCTAACTGCACTAGACTTGTGTTTAGATCCGGGTTGGCTAAAATTTTTTGTTTCAATGAAAAGCTATGTAGGTTTTCGAGATGGAATTATATATAATGTGACCATTTATTTTTGACAAAAGGAGGTCATAATCACCATTGCCCGTCAGATCAAAATACAATTTTTCGAATACTGTGCCACACTTATCTATTGGATTTCAGTTTCAATGGCTAAAAATGATTTTGACTTTCTTGTACCAAAAATAAATTGTCTCATAGTAAATAATTGCTTTTAAGATTAAAAGCTATATAGGGTTTTGAGATGGCAAGATATATAATACGACCATTTAGTTTTGACAGAAGGTGGTCATTATCATCATTGACCGTTAGATGAAAATAAATTTTTTCAAATATTGTGATAATCTATCGAAATTCAGATCCAATAGTTAAAAGTGATTTTGACCTCTTTGTACCAAAATAAATTGTCTCATACAATATAATTGCTTTTGAGATTAATTATAGTTAGTTATAAGAATAAATATATAAAGGAGGAGTATGTTAGTGGAAGTACTTCTACAATAGTATCCCATGTAACATCTGTCTTGGAGATGGATGTTAAAATTGACAATAGTTAAAACTATGTAAAAAGCTATAAGGTTGCAACCTTAAACAATCCAATTAAACCACACAACCTTAAACAATCCAATTAAGCCACACCTCCAAATTTTATCATGTAATTTTGTTGTAAAAAATTCTTAGAATTACCTAAAAATCTATTTTCATATCTAATTATAAAACTTTAAACTTTAAAAATGGTTAACATCAAGTAGATCTATAAACATATGAAAGTCTTGAAGGTGGACGGTCTAGATAATATGTTGCACGATGTACTATTACTGAGACTCAAAATCTTTTTATATATCTATATATTCATACATCCCGATGTCAAGATAATCAATTAGAGGGTTTTTCAACATTAAAACAAGCTTTTCCGATAGATTTTTGAGGTGCATATGTAATTCCACATTTTAAAGTTGCAACCCTATATAAACTTTTCCCATGTAAAAAATAATTATTTTTAATTTGTAAAACTTATTATTTTTATTTTTTACTTATCACTGTTGAAATTATCCTTCTTTAAAAATTATTTCTAAAATAAATTTTGGAGAGAGAACTCATTTAAATAGGTCAGTCAACCGACCCATAGAGACCGTGTCCATTCCTAGATGCATTTCTTTGATTAAATCGCCCCAAATGAAAAGTTTGGAATCCAGAACGGGGATATTTCAATAATGTTTTACAACTAGAAACATTGTAGCAATTTTCACATCCTGGAGAATGATGGCACTCCGGTAGAATGTGGGGGTAATTTTTGGTAGTTTGGTCATCATCAGTGTAATGTTACAGAGCCAGTTCTTGTTCTCTCTCTCTTCTCTAGTTTCATGGCTTAGTGTCAAAAACTCTCTCTCTGAATTACACCACTAGAGAGATTCTGTCTAAGAAATTAGGGTTTTTTCTCCTAATGATAACTCTCTGCAAAAGAATTATAGTCTCGGGTCCTAAATCCTAATTTGAAAGTCTTGAGTGAATGGGAACACAACTAGAAGCAAAACCACCCGGTTTTTCAGGAGTTATGCAGTACTTTCTCTGCTAAATTCATGGGTTGTGGGTTTCCTATTTGGTTGCTTTGTTCTGCAAAAAAAAAAGAAGTGGGTTTTGGATTTTAATCTCAATATTGTAAAATGTAAAGATTGGGAAGACCACCATAAGAAAACTACCTGGTTTTTTTGAAACTTGTTGATTGCTTCCCCCGCATTAAATAAGATTTTTTGGGTTTTCTTCTGAGTATTCTCTCTCTTTAGGGAACTGGTATTTTGGATTTTTGATGAAAAAACTTTGGTAAAATGGGAAAACCATCTGAATCAAACTCATCAGGTTTTGTAGAAACTGTGGATGAAATCATGAGAATTTACAGATCACTACCAAGAAGGCCAAGCCTTGATGAAGTTGAGGCAGCCATGGGTATCATAAGGACTGTCGAAAATGAAGAAAGTCTCAAAATTGAGGCCATTTCTAACCAGAAGAAACCCCCAGATGTGCCAGAAGAACTGTTCATTTTGTTACAAGAGTTTCAGAATAACTCAGTGTTGTTGCAGAGCGAAGAACAAAAGAAAGAAGCTGTGTTTGTTCTTAGTTTGGAGAAGAAATTTGAAGTCTTTGATGGGCTTTTACAGAGGGTAAACAAATTGGTTAATGGTGATGAGTCTATTGCTTCTGTTTTTCGCTCTGAGGAAGTTTTTCATGGGGTCACTGATTCAGTGGCTTCCTCTCTTGAGATTAGTAAAATTGGAAAGAAAATTTTCAGTTTGGGTGAGAGTAAGAGTTCAGAATCAGAAGCTCCTAAAGGAGTAGTGAAGGATTCCTCTCTCAAATCTACTGTTTCGTCAGGTTGGTTTTGCTTTTTCTCTCTAAAAGTTTGGATTCTTACTCTAAAAACCTGATAATTCAAGTATCAAACTCTCTATCTCTTCCTCTAGGGAGATGTGTCTGAGCCTTTGGTGCGTCAAGATAAATAGATTATTTTTATAATTGGAAGCTTTTGTTTCTGGCTGAATATGGAAATTTCATCGTTTAAGAAGCAAATACCAGAACAAATGAATGTCTTTTGAAGTTTTGATGGTTCTTATGAATGCATGAATTGATACTGATTACATTTGATTTGAAATTGAAACTATTGTTATCATATTTTTGTGCTAATTATCTGAACTTTTGTTTCTTTCACAATAAGTCATCAAACACAGTAATAATTTCTTTTATATGCTCTCCTTTCTCTCTTAAGATACTACTGTGTTTCTCCAGTAAAAAGTTGCAAACCATTTAGTGTTAACATAAACCATGAAAAAAAAAGATCATTGAATACGAAGTCTTTTGAGATAAACTAAATTGATCTAGTAAGTTAAATGACCTCTGTTTTATTCTTTCTATTGATTAGCTTTAGTCTGTAACTGAATAAGAATATGATTAAATTGTTAGCAATTTAAATATTGGTTGGGAAGATACTTATTTCCAAACTCAGTTGTCCCTTTCAAATTCCTTAATTTCTTTTTTTAACAAGATTGATATGGAATTGATAACTGCTTTTAAGGAACACCAATGCGAGACTGTGTTCACAAGAAAAACTAAAAAGGCTTTCAATAATAATTACTGTCCTAGACAGCAAAGAATACTTAGATAACCCAATTTCAGTGAGAATTTTAATTAACGAATAGCTCATTGCAATTTCAGTAGTTATCTCTTTAGTTAGGGACACTGATTTAATATTGGTAATTTGACTTTTCGAATTCTGAAAAGAACTGTGTTTTGGACGATGTGGTTGCAGATTTGGAAAAACTTGGACTGATGAAGGTGGCGAGTTTGATTGAAATATGTGCAAAGGATGGTGCTAAAGACATCAACCTTCAAGGGAAGTTGATGGACCAGATTGAATGGCTTCCTCTTTCAATAGGGAAGTTATCTGAAACTCTCTCTCTAAATTTAGCGGAGAATCGAATCATGGCCCTTCCTACGACAATTAGTGGCCTCAAGTCCCTAATGAAACTTGATCTTCATTCGAACCAGCTTATAAACCTTCCTGCGTGTTTTGGAGAGCTGTTCAACTTAACCGATCTGGATTTACATTCAAACCAATTAAAATCTTTGCCACCCACATTTGGAAACTTGACAAATCTGGTTAATCTAGACTTGAGTTCTAACAAGTTCTCGTACCTTCCTGAATCAATGGGAAAGCTCACGAGCCTAAAAACTTTGGACATAGAAACCAATGAGCTCGAAGAATTTCCATACACTATTGGCCATTGTACATCCCTGGTTCAGTTGAGAGCCAATTTCAATCAGCTCAAAGCCTTGCCAGAAGCCATTGGAAAGCTCGAGAATTTGGAAGTCCTAACTTTACATTACAACAGAATTAAAGGGCTACCGACTACTGTGGCTTCTCTCTCAAGCCTGAAGGAGCTGGATGTGAGCTTCAATGAGATAGAATCAGTCCCTGAAAGTCTGTGTTTTGCGACTAGTCTTGTGAAGCTGAACCTAGGGAAAAATTTCGCAGATTTGAGAGCCTTACCCAAATCAATAGGGAACCTTGAGATGCTTGAAGAGTTGGATATAAGCGATAATCAGATAAGGGTTCTGCCCGATTCTTTCAGATTGCTTTCTAAGCTGAGAGTTCTTTACACTGATGAAACTCCTCTCGAAGTGCCACCAATACAAGTTGCCAAACTAGGAGCTCAGGTTATTTATTTCTTTTCTAAGAGCGTTCTTTTTCATTAGTACATTCCCAAATAAATTTGATTTGATCCATTGTTTATGGTTAGAATCTTGTTTTTCTTCTTGGCCTAATTACTTGGTGCTTCTCTCTATGGTGTGGACAAAAGGCAGTTGTTCGGTACATGGCTGAGCTCCATGAGAAGAAAGATATGAAATTGAAAACACCTAAAAGGACTGACTTTTGGGTTTGGTTTTGCATACTTTTCTGCTCTCCGAGAAGAAATAATGGCGACAAGGACAGTGGCAAGGTTTAGATGTTGCAATTGGGATGCAAATTTAGGTATAAGGTCCTTTTGCCGATACTTGTATGGGAAAGTATATAAATACCATTTGCCTTTCCTGCATGGCCACAAACATCCCTAGCTGTCATATTTGAAATTGAGAGGTTGGGGTTTATCCAAGGAAAATTTTCTCAAACTTTGTACAGAAAGAGTACCCACCCTAGCCGCCCAATTTTACATCTGGTGGTGAGGAATGGTCATGCACTTCTTGTCTTATAGTATACAATCCCATCTGTGTGTGTGTGTATATTGTGTATTGGTGTTTGTGTGTGTGTGTGTGATGAAAAAGGTTTTTATGTATGCAAATGGTGGTTTTATATGTTGTAGGGTTGTTCATGAATTAGGGGAGAAAGGTGGTTCATGAATTAGGGGAGAAAGGTGGCACTTCTCTGAAGCAAATGATACTTTGGAAGCTTTTTTGCAGTAAGAGTTCATTCTATCTGGTATGTGCTTTCAATTGGGGAGCTTACCTTTGGAGATGGAACTTGATATTTGTGAATAATTAGGCAATATATTTTTTCCTTGTATACCTTGATGTGTAGCATTTGTTTGTTCTTTCTCTGTTCAATCTTGTACATACTATCATGCCGAAGATTCTTAATAATACATGTGGTTCATGAGCTGTTATCTCTCTCTCTCACACACACACACACAGAAACACACTCACACATGCACACACACAGAAACACACACACACACACTTTTATGCGTGCAACGTGCACACCCGAGCACACAAACAGGAATCATACCATCATGATTAGCTTCTTTCAAACTTTAAAGAATGATTTGAAGGTCTAATAAATTTCCAAAGTTCCCCTTCTATATGGATGTGCATTATGGATAGAAGCCACTTTTTCTGTGATCTCATTCATTCATGGTAGGTATGGCACTATGAATATCCATGTGAAACGAACCCCTTGCTTTATGGAGTTCCCCTGTCTTCAAGGAACCTTGCCTTCAATTCTGTGGACCAAAATGAGGCAACTTGGATCGAGGAAGGAACTTTGAATTACTCATTGAAATATTTTTACAAGATGAAAAGGACATCAATTCCACATAGGGGGTACTATATGAAATTGGTCATCCCTAGCTCAACTCTGCTAATCTTAAGTGATGAGAGCAAAGTTATAAAACTAAATGTATAGAGGAAACATTCTTCACATTTAATCAATCCAATGTTTTTTTGTTGGTTTGGAAAAGTATAAATTAAGATTGTTTTCCTTTGGTTCAAAGAGATCATAGTTTTCCATAACTGTCATATGTGAGTAGGGCACTTGGGGTGTACACACCAAACTAAAAAAATTCAAGAAAATTTTTCTAGGGACACACCTCAGCCATCTGCTTGTCAGAAACTCTGTCGGCAACACATCAGCCATCCAAAGTAGACAGGAAGGGATATTGCTAATTCGGATTCGACTACCATTTCAACTCAGTGAAATTAGAGAAATTAGGACTATTGCGTTGCAGCCGCAGCAGACGTTTGTCATTCTTGAATACACTGGGCATCATAGACGAGATCGAGACTTTATATACTACAGAGAGGGTTGTATGGACTGAGGTGAGGAAGTGAAGAACCTAGTTAACTACATTCAGTTTTCTCAGTTGACATGAATGCATGCATAGTGCAAGTTCCGACTTTAACAATAAAGGTAGTTGTCGTAATCATCATCGTCAAAGTCTATTCCCAACGGTAAAAGTATAGCGAAAAAAACGAAGTTTTTTTAATCAGTAAAAGGAAAACTTGCAGCTGGTTATCTACCTTCTTGGGTGGCTATTTACATTAATGCCCCTAGTAGATTGTAAAGATAAGGCTTTTTGAACGCTATGAAGACATCCAAACATGGTGTAATAATGTAGTGCTTCTATTAATTGTAGGGCTTCAAAACGTAATTAGGGTACACCTTCCAAGCAGGTCCTACAAAGTGGTTTAGAGTAAAAAATTGCATCATCATTAGGGGTGGCGAATGGGTTGGGTCGGGTAAGGTCCAGCCAGACCCAGACCTAGACCCAAAATTATAGTGTGGGACTTGGATTCGGACCTGATTGGACTCAATTCAAAAATAAAAATATCCATGTGTTTAACTATATTGAAATGTATTCTATATATTGAGACCCGAAAAATATTACCGGACCCGGATCCAACCCGTCGAGTCCAATTTTTGGACCTGGATCGGATCTACCCCTCGGGTCTTAGGTCGGGTCCGGGTCCATTGCCACCCCTATGATCATCATGTACCCTCTTAGAAACTTCTAGTAGATGAGATGACATTAGAAAAATCAGTGATTGGCACCACGCACCTTTTGGAAATTTCTTGTAAATGAAACATATTTAAGGAAAAAATATTCAAGGAATTGCATGTGAGGCTCGCACTAAATAAGCATGCTATGCATGATCATGTAATGTACCAGGAAAAAGCTTTGATGGTTGATGAATAAATGCTAATGGAACTCAAAATCAATCAGCAAATTAACAGAAGAATCCTTTTTTATTTTTAAAATTTAACCCACTTTTTATAGTGGATATTATATTTTAATTTTTTTTCTATGTATATCCCATTAAACTCAAATTTATACACCCTACAATTTCAAAATTTTGGGTATATGTCCTTTTATTTGTTTTAAAAGGTCTTTATTTATTTATAAATGATAAATGGTGACACGTATCAACTTTTTAAATTTGAGCTCAATCTAGTAAATAGAAAAAAAAAGAAAATTAAAGTATAATAATAATACGTTCTATCAAAAAGTGGGGCTTGAGTTTAAAATATAAAATATACAAAACTATTCTTTAATTTCGATAAAATTAGGATTTTTCATATATTTTTCAACTCAATTTTATCTTCAGCTACTTTTTTGCAAGCAAAGTTATATTTGTAACTATAATAAAGGGCAAAGCATTTTGTTAAGCCTCGATTTGTATAATCGCATTTCAAATTTCACTAATAAAGGCACTTCGACTACTAATTTTTTTGCAAATTAATCAACTCCAAATCAAAAAAGAGGACAAAAAGCAAAAGGAAAAAGAACAAAAAGCAAAAGGAAAAAGTGAGAGGTTAAGTCAGCTTATTGTGGTTTTTTGGGTCAAACTTCAACATTTGCAACTCTTGACCTCCCACACCCAAACCAATATGTATCCCTCTAAACAGATAGCTTTGAGGATTCCATATGCATAGAGGACAAAAAACAAAAAAAAAAGAAAAAAAAAAAGAAGAGGGCTTCATGCCCGAATAATAGCCTATCTTGCAATACATTTTTTTTACCGTCAATTTTTAAATATTTTGTTGGCATCATTTTTGGAACTTCCAATCCCAGGATAAGGTAGAAATGGATTTCTAGTCATCACAAAGGTTTGGCTGCACTAGAAATGCATTTTCCTCTAGGTTTTGAGGTGCGGCCTTACCAAAATTCACAAAGTCGTGGCCTCATGAAAATTGCGTGGTCTGAAGCCATTAGTGATCAGTTAATTAATGTTCAAAAGTAGGTCAGAAAGGATTCAAACCTATGGTTTGAGCAAACCGACATTTCTCAGCCCTTTTTGCCCATTGTCTTAAGAAATTGTCTATTATTATTTTTGTACACGAATATCACAATCATTCTTGTCTTTTAAATTTCAAAATGGGTGGTCATAATAGTATCATTAACTAGATACAAAGTTCCAAAAAACATTTTTCAGACTTTATGATTTACCCCAAGCAATACAATTTGACTTCTAATGAGCGGAAACAGTTGTGACTTCCTTGTAAGAAGATAAATAGCCTTTTTGTAATCAATCCCATGTCTTAATTGACCAAAAGTCCATAATAACATTAAAAAAATTTAAATCTTTCCCCTTTCCCCCAGTCCCATGGCCTTCTTCAAATCTTTAATAGACAATGGGTATCTTTTTTTCTTGGGCTGTTCAACAACAAGAATGGAACACGAGATGTAGTGTTCCTGACATCAATTAATTGCTAACCTCTAAAGCCCAAGTCCCCTTCCTAATGGATACTCATGAGGTAGTATTCTGCGTTTTACTTTGCAGTGAGCAACTGAGTACAATGTTTTTTTTCCTTAAAAGTTGTCATTTATTATTATTTTCATGTGTGCAACAGTGCTAAAGCTACAGAGATGGTAATGATAAAGCTAAAGCTAAAATCAGAATACAAAGTTATAAAGGTTACCAATAAAGTAATAAACAAGGAGGAACATCAGAAGGATACATTTAAATGAAAAAGTTTATATTTAAGGGTGAAGTCCTCAACCATCAAGGTAAGACGCACTCATTGGAAGAGGGTATTTTGATGTTGAAAAACTTTTAATTCCATCATCTCGAACTCAAGATATATGAACATAAGAAAAAATAGATTTCAAGTTTTATAAATAGTGCATCATGTGATATAGTATTTAGATCATTAGTTTTCAAGATTTTTAAGTGTTCATAGATCTGCTTGATGTACACTATTTTTTAACATTTACATTTTAAAATTAGAGATAAAAAGGAATTTTTAGGCCATCAAAAATATTTTTGATTCTGAAATATTTGACATTATTCAATGGTGTGCTTTACTTTAATTGTTTTGAGCCTCAGCCTTATACAAATCATACCCTAAACTATTTAAATTCCTTATACTCATCATAATATTTCATTTCATTTCATTTTCACCAAACATATCATACATTTACACGTCCAAGGATCACTTGATCCATAAAGAAAGAAAATGATAGAAATGGGAAGAGTATTTTGCACCCCTTCTCCCTTGTTAGTAAAGGATTCGTTGATTGTATGGTCTAAAACTTTTAAAACTAATCTTGTCCGCATATACATATGGGTGCGGTTTGGGTAGAGCCGAGGATCTAGACAATCAAAGTAAAGCTCAGCTTCAAATAGTGTCGAGATTTGTGATTTTAATATTGGAAATCTTTGTGGTAGCCTTAAAATATACTTTTATCTTCAATTATAAAATTTAAAGCTTCAAAAATATTGTCGATAGAGCAGATATATGAAAACTTGAAAATTGACTGTCCAAAAATACGTTGCAAGATGCACCATTTCCAAAACTTGAAATCCATTTTTTTCTCAAAGCCATGCATGGAGTTGATCAATTTGAGGAAATTTGGGCATCAAAACAACTCTTTTAGTGATATTTTTAGGTGGGCTCTAATTGATTGTTTAGAGTCTCGGCTTTATATAAACTTTTATTTTTTTTGGAGCATTTATTTTAATATATATTGAAATATATATAAAGAGACCATTTATTTTATGGACATGGTTTCTGCGGCCAGCAATGCGGGCTTGGCAATAAATACATTTTTAAAAATATAATTTGATCTTAATTTTTAGAAAATATATAATTTTTAATATGGAGATCATGAATATGAAAAAACAATACAATAATTCTATTAAAAAAACATTGGGACGGCTAGTTACACTTGTTTTCAAATGGACCACTTATTTGCCTCCATCTTTAAGATGGATGCTTTATACCTCTGGACCGCATATTGTAAAAATGCAATCTAGCCCGCATGAAACAATTTTTCTTATTTTATACATATTGAAAAATATATAAAGAGATCATTTATTTTTAATATAAGGAGGTCACAATTAGGGATGGCAATGGATTATGGTGTGGGGAACCAAACCAAGACCCAGACCCGAATAGTATTCGAGTCCAAAATTTGGACCCATAATTAGACCCATTAGGTCCTGGGTCTATCTGTCGGGTCCCGGGTCTGGTCGGATGCATTTCCACCCTATGACTATGAGCTTGTTGTTATTTTTGTCCCCCTTCTTTTTACCATCATATACCTTATGACTATGAGCTCTTTTTTTTTGCCAATAATACTGTAAATGTCATCAATATTACGCTAATATGAACCCCAAGTACACACCTAAAAACACATGATTGCCATCATATACCCTATGACTACGGATACGGGTTGGGTATGGTTGGACCCGAACTCGAATACAATAGTATCGGGTCCAAAATTTGGACCCCTAACCGGATCTGTGGTCGGGTATAGCCGTCGGGTCCCAGGTCTTGTCGCGTCCATTGTCATCTCTAGTCACAATCACTCTTCTTCATGAGATTTTAAATCGGATAGTTGCAAATGTGTCATTGACTAGATTCAAAGTTAAAAAAAAATTTTCTCGAACTTTTTGACACACCCCAATCATCCAATTTGACATCCAATAGCTAGTAGTAGTTGTGACCTCTTTATAACAAAGATAAATGGTCTCATAGCATACATTTCCTTTAAGTATTTGTGTGGGGGAAAGAGTTAATGATAGGTTGAGACCCATTTTTCAAAGTAATTTAGATAATACTCTTCTCACTTGAACTCGATTGTACAATTGAGAGATCAGGTGACTGGGAGCATGTTACCATTGGAGTTGTATTTTTATTTTTTACACATCGGGACCGAGATGTTGGTCGTCCTGCGCATCATTATCACACACCTAGAAAAATATAGTGTACTAAAAATATTTTAGCACATAGATTTGGACCATCGATAGGATTTCACACACATATGCACATTATATGCCAAAATAAAATGACAGAAAAATATTTCTATGTAAAAATAACAATAATTCCATGAAAATAAAATGACGAAAAAGCCTCTTAAATTTATTGAAGTTTGGACTTTTTTTTATTTTTTATGTTTTATCTAGTTATCTAGTGGCATTTTTGCATTTTCATAGGTAATGTGTAAGTGAGGAGTATGCATGCCCCGAGATTGAGCTCCATCCAATTTTGTAGAAAAATAATTAAAATAAAAAATTTGATATAGACTCTCAACCACTCAATCAATAACAAAGGCTAGAAGGAAGAAAATAATATCTAGAGTAATAAATAAATTATTTTATATATAACATTAAATTCCGGGCTTTATTTTTTCTATAATTTAAAAATGCAAAAGGTTTATATAAGGGTGATGCCCTAAACAATCAAATTGAGGCGCACCTCAAAAAATCTAGAGAATAGGTTGTTTCAATGCTGAAAAACCCTTACTTCGATCATCTCGACCTCAAAATGTATGAACATAAGAAAAATAGATTTCAAGTCTTGAAAATAGTGGATTTTGTAATGTATTATTTAGATCGTCAATTTCCAATATTTATAAGTGTTTATAGATTGGTTCGATCTACATTATTTTCGAATCTTTAAATTTTATAATCAAAGATGAAAATAAAATTTTAAACCATCACAAAGATTTCTGGTACGGAAACAACATATTTTAGCACTGTTTGAAAGTGCGTCTTACTTTGATTGGTCAGAACCTCAACCGTATATAAACCACACCCTTTAAAGATAGGAAACAATTTATTTAAGAGTGAGGCCCTAAACAATCTACACCTAAAAAGAAGTTGTTTTGATACCCGAAAATCCTCAAATCGATCATCTTGACCTCAAGATATATAGACATGAGAAAAAATGGATTTCTTGTCTCGAAAATAGTGCATCATGTAATGCATTTTATAAACATTAATTTTCAAAGGTTTTCAAGTGTTTATAGATACGTTCGATATACATTATTTTTCAATATCTAAATTTTATAATTAGATATAAAAATAAATTTTCAAGCCATCACAAAGATTTTTAGTACTGAACATCTTTCGATACTATTTGACGGTGGGCCTTATTTTAATTGTTTAGGGCCTCATCCTCATACAAACCACATTCTAAAAAAAATAAGAAAAGGTTTACATAGAGCGGAGGCTCTAAACAATCAAATTAGAATCCGTCTCAAAAATTCCATTAGAATATATTGTTTTGATACCCAAATATCCTCAAATTGATCATCTCGACATAAAAATGTATGGACATGAGAAAAAAATGGACTTTAAGTTTTAAAAATAGTGGATCTTGTAACACATTTTTGGATCATCAATTTTCAATACTCTCAAGTTTTAACAGATCTGTTCAATTTAAACTATTTTTGAAGCTTTAAAATTTTATAATTAAAAATAAAAATGTATTTTAAAACTATCACAAAGATTTTCAATACTAAAACCACATTTCTTGATACTATTTGAAGATGCATTTTACTTTTTACTTTGATTGTTGAGGGACTCGGCTCTATTCAAACATTTCTTGATACTATTTGAAGATGCATTTTACTTTTTACTTTGATTGTTGAGGGACTCGGCTCTGTACAAACCACACCCAAAAAGCCCAATATTTAATATTTTACCTCTATCATTCTCCACTTTATTGAAAGTTGGAAAGGCCAAACAAAAAGAGAAAGTCAAATTGTCCCATCTTCCAGAGCAGTTAAATCCTTTTCTTTCATTTTTTTAGAGAGAGAGAGAGAATTTTCTTCTTTCTTATTTTCTTAGAGAGAGAGAGAGAGGAATTTTCTTCTTTCTTATTTTCTTAGAGAGAGAGAGAGGGAGCGCGAGTGAGAGAGAGAGGATGGCTGAAAACTTGGAACCACTTGAGCCCGAGGTAATCAGAAACTGACCCAACTGACCGAAATTGGTTTCTTTCTTTTATTACTCAGTGAAAAGAATAATTGAGCCCAATTCACTGTAATCTTTTATTTTCCTGCGGTGATATATATAGGTGGGAAATTGGGCATAATTCGTTTACCTTGCTTAGGTTAAGAGGATCAAGAGGGAGGACAATAGCATGGTAATTTCTTCACTTTCTTCTATTTTGAAGCTAAATACATTTCATTTATTTGTATGAGATTTTTTTTTTCCCTTTCTTTTTCCTAGTTGGGTTTTAGACTATTTGTTCTGATTAATCTTTGATGAGTTTGATCGCTTGTTAAGGACTGAGAGATATGGATTTGAAATTTGTTGGCTTCTGTTTTGTTTTATTGGAATTTGTTGGCTTTTATTTGTTTATTGGATTTGTTGGCTTCTATTTTTTTAAAAAAAAAGTTATCAGAAACGGCCTATAATCTAAACTTGATGAGGAATTTGGATTTTGGCATAATTTATTATATCAAGTAATGCGGTTGATTGCTTTTTTAATTTTTTTAAATTAATTTAGCTTCTTGGCTTTCCAATATTCTAAATCAATTCACTATTTCATTTACCAAAAAATATTTTTCTTTGTAATTTACAGTAGGCATGTATCACAAACCTTTTTTTATGATTACCCTTGTATTTAAATTTATTAAATGATTCTAATATTATCATCCAAGAACTACTAACTTATCAGAAAAATTATTCAAGAACTAGTGCAGAAATGGACCTTTTCATTGGCTGGACTCGAAATACTGTCTGATATAAGTTCTTGATGACTAAAGTTCTATGTGCAGTAAAATAACATTGAATTCCAGCTGACTTGAAGCTTTCACTTTTTATGGTGAAAGATAATTATTTAGTGTTGGCTGAATTTTTTTTTTTCACTTATGAATAATACCACATAATTTTGTCCATACTTAGTAAGTAATTACTTATCTTGGGCTCTGTAATGTGTTATAATCAGAGGACTGTGTCTGCCTATTAATTTTATATTCTTGTGGTTTCATTATTGGGTGCGGTTTGTATAGAGCCGAGGCTCTAAACAATCAAAGTAGAGCGCACCTTCAAATAGTGTCGAGAAATGTGGTTTCAATGCTGGAAATCTTTATGATAGCCTTAAAATATATTTCATATTTAATTATAAAATTTAAAGCTTCAAAAGTAGTGTAGATCGAGCAGATCTATGAAAACTTGAAAATCTTGAAAATTGACGATCCAAAAATGCGTTACAAGATGCACTATTTCTAAAACTTGAAATCCATTTTTTTCTCATGTCCATGTATCTTGATGTCGAAATGATCAATTTCAAGATATTTGAATATCAAAACAACCTCTTATAGTGAAATTTTTGAGGTAGGCATTGGCTCTATATAAACTTTTTCCTTTATTATTTGTACACTTTTAACTATTTGTTGGTTAGTGAGAACTGGATTTAGCTTGCTAACTGAATTGATTTTACTTTATCTTCCAAAACAGAGCATTTGAGTGAGAATGGTTCATGCCCGTCTTTGTTATAAAGGGCCCTAACTAATTTAACTTAGTAATATTAAAATATGGAAAAGTACAAAAATAAAATTTCTTAATTTTGGAGAAGGTCACAATCACCCTTAGCCACCATATGTGAATTTGGCAGCTGGGTTTGTTCCATTGATTGCACTCAGAGTCTAAGAAAAACTGTTTTCAAACTTTGTGCAGAAAATGACACACTCATAGCTGTCAGTTTTCACATGTGACAGCTAGGGGTGATTGTGACCTTTTTTCGCATGACCTTCTTGTACGCAAGGTAAAAGGTCTTATAATATCATCATCATCATCCAAGCTTTATCCCACCTATTTGGGGTCGGCTACATGAATCAAGTTCCACTATTTTGGTAGGTTCATGATTCATGAAAAGAAGTGGCAAAGTTTTATGCTGGCTTCTCTACCTAACACAACCCTTCTCCTTTATCCGGGCTTGGGACCGGCATGACTGGCTTGGGTAGGCCATAGTGGAGTTGAAGCATCCTATAGTATCATCATCATCAGAGCCTTTCCCAACTATTTGGGGTCGGCTACACGAATCTTAGTCCGTCATTCTGCTTTATCAAGAGCCGGTCCCTATGTCTTTTCTCACAACTTCCAACCATGTCTTTTTAGGCCTACCCCTTACCCTTTTCGAGCCTTCCACTTGGGGTAAATATTACTGCAACATGAAGTGGCAGTAACATTCGAGGATTCCATTGTTTAGTCATTTGGATTTAGCCATAAGGCTTGGTAGGCTCTAATATCTTTCTTGGATCATGTGAAGGTGAGCTGACAGAGATTTGTTAAAACCCACAAAACATGCTAAAACCAATCAGGCATACTAATGGGGAGGGCTCAGCAACTCTCACCTATTGTTTCCATTTGGATTCATTGCTTAATTGGAAATTTTATTTGTGAAGTTCTCTTTGTTTCTAATAAATTTTGTTAGTTATTCATGTATTCATGTTTCAGGGTACAAATGTTCTTTTGTCCGATGCACAAGATGCTGCTGCAGTCAATGAGAAAAGAACTGTTTTCGTATGGGACATGGATGAGACCCTTATATTGTTGAAGTCTTTGTTGGATGGCACATATGGGAAGTCCTGTGATGGTGCAAAGGACATCGAAAAAGGAGTGGAAATTGGGAAGTGCTGGGAGAAACACATTCTCCAAGTCTGTGATGAATACTTTTTCTACGAACAAGTATGTTTTAGGCTTTTTTCCAATTATACACTTCCCCTATGTTGCAATAACATGGTTTAGATGTGCTCAATAAAATGTGTTCAGCTTTGCATCTTAGATACAGTTTCTATCAAGCGTAGTGTTTTTACCTCCAAAAGCATTGGGTTTCTTAGTGATTTGGCATTTTTATTTAAGCAGATTGAGGAATTCAATGAGCCTTTTGTTGATTCTTTGAGTGAGTATGATGATGGTAGGGATCTCTCAGCTTATGATTTCAGCAAGGATGGGTTTAGTCAACCTTGTGATGATGCCAACAAAAGGAAACTTGCATACCGGTACCGTGTGATCGCCCAGAAGTATGCACAGGTGTTGGTAGAGTTTCACTCTTTAGCATGGGCATTTTGGTTTTTGTAAGTCTGATTCTTGTTCTTGTCTTCAGTGCTTAGCCTTATTAATCTAAATTGTTAAGTCTTATTGTCGAAGCGAGTCTTTATCCTAAAAGCATTGATTCAATAGCATATAATTTTGTATTTGTTGTTCCTTTTTATTGGATAAATTTAAGATCAAATAATATTTCCTCATCTGTGTGAGTGTGAACTTATTTTAATATTCAATTGTTCCTTTTCATTTCAACGCTTTTAAAACAGTTTGAATTGGAAGTAACCAAGAAAGGTATCCGTGGAATAATAGTTACATAGTAGTCTAACAAATGTTGGAACTCGGAAGACAATGTGATTAACTTGAACGAAAGTGATTAAACTTTTTGCTGTTCTCTTTGGAAGGCAAGCATTTGCTTTTGTAAAACTTAAGAGATTTATGAGGGCTTAAGACTGCATTATCACCATCTAATGCCCCATCTGACAACTCAATTATAATTTCTTATACTCTTTGGGTGTTCATTGTTTGGATCTCCTTCGATTACTTTGATGCTTTTTCCTGTTGGTTCTGTGGACATACCTGGCTGAAATGTTGTTATCCAAAATTTCAGGCAAGGGTCTGTTCTTGGTTGTGTTTTATTTTTGGTCTTTCGGAGCAATGTTGACCAGTTCATTCATAAAAATAGAACCCTAATTTCAGAAATTCTTAACTGGGATGATCAGGAGTGATCCCAAATAGATGAAGTATCATGACGGTGATAAGTTTGACCATTTTAACAATAAATTTCTGTCACTAATTACAAAAATATATGTGCACTTCAGACTTCATCGCATTGATTTTTTAAGCAAAAAATTTGGTACAGCAATTGATGTATCCAAACGGGTAAATGTCCATGTATCGGGTCTCTTTCCCTCTTTTTTGTATTCACTGTAATCATTAATAATGAGGAAAACAGTCATTGGCACTTTGAGCTGCTCTAACGGTTTCGTTTTCTTTTTACCTAAATTTTGATACTTGGAAAAACCTTGACACGGAAGGCCTAGGTAGCTTTTTAACTTAATCATGTGATATTATTCTGTAGTTTATGTTGAAAGTCTGCTTCCTATTATTTGAATGCACTTGCTAGATTGATACGCACAGAGTTCCTCACAATTAAACTTTGCCAAGAAGCCCAAAACCCTCAAGCATTTCTGCTATGTTTCTACTTGCCATATTTATTATTCCTTATTGGAACTGATTGTTTATCATAATTTTAGCATTTTAGCATTAAGTTGCCTCTTTTGGATGTTGATTATTTGTATTACTTGATTTCAGGGTTTGCACTGTGTTCTTGACCAAGAAACATTGAAGCTTTGGGATGATCTCTATGATTTGACTGATGACTTTACAGATAAATGGCTTTCATCTGGTATGTATTGATTATTTCTGCAATTTCTTCATATACTTGGCTTACATATCGAAAGTTTTACAGAATTTTAGGGGTAGTTGACATATTCTTGCTAAGTATCTGAGGAATGCTATTTGGAAAGTAAAGGTAATTACTGTTATAACATTTTGTTTTTCTCATCACAAGATCCTTGTAAACAACATGGAAGTGAAGTAGTGAACACAAGTGAAACTTCCAGACGAAATGATTGGGCAGCAATCCGGTCCAGTCTGAGACTTGAGTTGGAATCTTGAAATAAATGCACAACGAATAAACAACCCATAGGGCTATTGTGTCTTTGTTTGTCTAGTGCTGATTGACATCACTGCTCGAGGTTTCAAATTAAACTTGTTAATCACAGAATTGTTTTTACTGCGATGGCATCATCTGGTATCTTGCAACTTTTATCAATTTTTTAAGAGAATTGATTGCTTTCTGGAGCATGCTATTTGAAATGTGAGTTGAATGTTTGTCTTGGAGGTATAATTATTTATGTCAATGAAAACATCGCAGTAATTTCTTTAAGTAACTGAATTTTTGGTGGGGAATTAACGATTGCCCAGGACCATGACAAAAGGTCTGCATTAAGCAAGGGCTGACAATCCTTGTGACATCAGCCTTAATATGTCAGAGCAAATATTAACCAAATGTTATCGCCTTTGGCAAATCAAGATGATTGTCCCCATTCAAGGAGTCGCATGGAACTTAGAGGGGTACTTTACAGTAATAAAGATCCGTATGTTGAAAAACTCACTTCTAAAGGAATAGGTTAGTATATCATATAGATCTTTATGGTATAATATCATAAAAATGTAATAGTATGCTATAATTCTTTCCATTGAGTGTGCAGGTGGGTGTGAATTATGTGGTAAGTTGATGGATTTGGTGCGAAAGGAACCATGATTGCGTAGCGAACTTTAGAATAGAATGCATATGTATATGCATCTGTGTGCTTAGTTACACATACGCATTTAATCATTACAATAGTTGCTGAGATGTCTTTTTTCAGCACGGGCCCTCTTGGAGCAATGTTTGGAGGGGGACTTTTTCTCGAGTTCTGCTTCCTTCCATTCAAGTTCCACAACCAGTTCATGCCATAAGAAAGGCGAAAAAGTGAATGTTTTGGTTACATCTGGATCTCTAGTCCCCAGTCTTGTTAAATGCTTGCTCTTTCGTCTCAATGGTTCTATACCATATGACAACGGTCAGTTGGGAAGTTCATATCTCTTTTTGTTCCCTTATTTGAATTGTTACATATGCTGCTGATACAGTGGGGTATGGGAATACTTTGGTCTATTTGGATCATTGACATCGAATGAATTATGGATGTTGATGGAGAGAGAGTGCCTCCTCTTGTTCTAGTGGGTTTGATTTTCTCTTTATCAGCATTCATTATTTGATTGGTCGGTGATGACCCCAAGGACTTTGGTTTCCCATAGTCTACTAGATTATAATATACTTGTTGATGTTCCTTTTCAAAATAAAATTAGCCTCTAGACTCGTTCGTGTTTTCTTTCGGGAGTCCTCACATTTAATTTCGCTACTGTTATATACTTAGTCTTTTATCACCTGTTATTTCAAACACAGGTTGCACATCAAGTGTCTTCTAAGTAATATTGAGACAATACTTCACCATTGACTGGCAAAAACTCACTAATTTCGTGAGAGCAACTTGAGCTTTTGGTGATAAAATGACAAAGGAAACCAAATTTCCTTTGTATTTTCTCATGGATGGTTAAAGCTTTTCATTTGTTCTTTTTCCTTTCTACCACAGTTTACAGTTCATGGGATGTGGGGAAGCTCCAATGCTTTTCATGGATCAAAGAGCGATTTGGGTCCACGGCTTCTCAATTCTGTGTGATCGGCAATGGCTCAGAGGAGTGTGAGGCTGCCAAGGCCATGGGCTGGCCATTTGTGATGATTGATCTACAGCCTGGATGTTGGCACAGGTTTCCAGGTCTATCTCTAAAAACAATCAAGCAATATATTGATGTTGTGTACCCTGAGGAAACAAAGGATGAGAGCTGATAAATTTATATCTTCCCCTTCTCGATATGTCGTAAGCAACGTTTTGAACAGTTAAAAAGTAGGAGTGTGTTCATAAAGCAGTTTCTTTCTTTTTCATTTGTCACGTAGTTTTAGATTCTTGCCGGTGTGAGGTGCAGATGTTCTTCTAAGAAGTAGTATTTGTTATGTTGGGGTCATTTAATTTTTGTCTTTCAATTGATAATTCTTGTCTTTATTGTAACATATGGATTATATGTTGACTTTACCATATTTACATGGGTATCTATTCATATTGCTTGACAAAACATTCCCTTGTCCTATATTGGAAAAGTCTTTTGGGTGGAGATAGCTTTTTGTTTTATGTCACACTAGTGATGAAAACAATTGATGAAGGCTTCTTGTTAATACATAATGAAAAATGGTTTGATAGGGCTGCAACCCTATTAAAATAAGTAAAGCCTCACCTCATAATTCATCGAAAATTGCAATTCAAGCATTAGAAAACCTTTACATCAAACATCTCGGTTTGAACATTATGGTTGTGAAAAAAAAAAAAGATTTCAAGCTCTAAAATAGTGTATATTGTAACAAATTATCTGGACTGTTCATTTGGCCCTAAAAGTAAGTGTCCATAGATCTGTACTTTTTTTTGAGTTTTGAATTTCATTGCCAGTATTGAAAATTTATTCTAGAGCCATTATGGATATTTCTGTTGTCGAAAGTGCTTTCCGGATAAGGCTTGAGGTGGTGTTTTTTTAGTTTTCATAGAGCCTAAGTCTTATAGAAACTTCGTCCATGAATAATAGGCCTTAGGAGTCGCATCCAAAGAATTAAATCAATGTCATGCTTTTTTTTGTTTTTGGGGTTAGTGTTCATAGATCTGTATCATTTTTTGAGTTTCGAATTTCATTGTCAGTGTTGAAAATTTATTTAAGAGCCATCATGGAAATTTTTGTTGTTGAGACTGCATTTTGGATAAGGTTTGAGGTGATGCTCAAGTGTTTTCATAAAACCTAAGCCTTATCGAAAATAATAGGCCTTAGGAGTCACATCAAAAGAATTAAATGAATGCCATGCTTATTTTTGGTGCTAGTCTCCATTAATCTGTACTATTTTTTTTCAAATTTCATTGTTAGTGTTGAAAAGTTATTTTAGAGCCACCATGGACATTTCTGTTGCGGAAAGTGCTTTTTGGATAAGGTTAGGTTTGAGGTGATGCTTTATTGTTTTCATAAAACCTAGCATTTGTAGAAACCTCATCCATGAATAATAGGCCTTAGGAGTCATATCAAAAGCATTAAATGAATCTCATGCTTGTTTGTGGTGATAGTGCTTACTTTCACATATATGATTAGAACTGAATCTGTTTAAATGATTATTAGTGCCATTTGACTGCATTTTTTGGATTACAAGATAGACGCAAAACATCATTAAAATTGCAAGACCACCTAAAAACTTAATGAGATGGTTATCTCAACAATTTACGCGACGAGGTGCTTACTTTTTCCAAATTCTTTCGGTTAGGTAGCGTTCCAAGAAATTTGTTAAAACCATCAAAATTGCATGTTCGCAGTTTGTAAGACTGAACAAGTGAGGTTAATTTGGTCATTTGATCCATTTAGTTCCTTGAGTTAGATGACTTATCTTCGTTTGTTTCGAGATTCAAACTAAAGTTTTTTCAGTAAAATAACTTATTACGGTTTAGGAAACCAGAATAGGTAGAGGCATTTTTGTGATTTTTTTTTTTTTTTCTAGCAATTCAATGGGGAAGACAGGCCACCACCCATTTTTCTTAAATAAATTGGGAGTTAGCTGTTTTGAAGGTGTTAATAAGGTGGTGTTAATGATGGGAACGGAAACTACAACATGGTGACTAAGGTGTGGGGTGCTACCACCATGACCCCAGCCCTTTTTCCACGTTTTGGTGATGACCCACTTAAGTTGCTTGATCATAAGAGATATTAGTTGTTATGGATCCTAAACATGGAAAAATAATGTTTTTATGAAATACTTTTTAGGTTTTGGAAGCCAAAATGAGTATTTTGGTCATCTAGCTTGAGGAATTTAAGTGGATAAATTACCTGTCTTTAGTTCCAAACCTAGAATTTAGGTAATTTCTAGTTAAATACTTGATGAGGTATTGAGCGAAATAGTTTTTGAATGATAATCTCTTTCTTGGTAAATTGGTTGCTTTAATTGCATTAATTTTATAAGGTGGTTTAACCATTTTATCGATATTTTATAAAATAAATAAATAACCATTTATTTTAATAAAACAAGTAATAAATGACATCACAAAAATAGCACAAGATATTTAATGATTCTCTTCAAGAAAATATGGGAATTCTAAGACGCCATTGATTAAGAAAATTAAGTTTTCACCCAAACTTCATGTATAAGAATTTGGGGTATGAACTTGGACACTTAAACTAATTTGTAATAATGCTCTTCAAGAAGGTGGAATGCTAAGACACCTGTCTAAATCTACACAAAATTCCTTTGAATGGAGGAAAACAAAAATCAATTTCCTCAAAAAAAATAAACTTAGATCTAAGTGTAAATTTGGAGAGTGTTTTGTGGCTTATCAATCCTTACTTCTTGAAGAGTATTATGACATCATTCTTTCATCTTCATGTCCTCTTTTCCATGGCTGCTTGTTTCAATAGATGTGACCATCCACTTCCCTAGCCTCTTAAATTGACTTCTTTAGTGCATCTATCTCTCTCTCATCCTTCATCCATCTGAACTGCACAAATGACTTCAAACACTAACAATGGAGAGAGAGAGACTTTTGTCATTTTGCCAGAGTTTAGGGGCATTTAGATGTGGGACACGGTTTCTAGGAGCCTATGGGCTCAAATGTAGAAACGCGGGTCCCCTAATAATTTATTTTTGAAATAGAATTTGATTTTAGTTTTTAGAGAATATATAATCTTTAACGTGAAGATTATTAATATGTATAAATAAATACATTTTAAAAACTATAAATGATATTTTTTGAAAAAAATATGTGAATCGTTGATTTTACTTTTTATTTAAAGAACTATTATTTACAAGACCCGGTTTTGGTGGACAGTGTAGATCTCCAAGCCTGAATAGTAGCAGGTACGGGCTTGAACGTACCAAAACAATTTTCCTCAAATGTGCAATTGTCATTGTCTCATTCTCAAAAGAAAAAACAAAAAGAAAGAAAATCGATTGTAGTTTCAGTCACTGTTCTTTCAATTAACTTTCCAGGTTATTGAATGAAATAATTATAACAAGTACATGTGCGTTACATAGTGGCAGATATAAATCTTAAGAGGTATCCATATATTATTATCTGGAAGGAATTTTGATGGAACGGTATTGTATACTTTTTTTGTTGAAAAAAGTTGGGTAAAATAGGGGCAAAAATTAGCACGAATTAACCAAAATTGAAACTTGAATCCTTATTGTTTTCGAGTATACAGGAGTGCTATCTCAAGACGGTATTTTACCTCTTAGATACTGTAAAAAGTGTGCATAAAAAGGACAACTCGTTTCAAGATATAGGAAAAGAGAAATGTCTTTTTTTTTATGCTCTAAAACTCTATGCACCCGAGCTTCAAGCTCATAGGATGACCCCTTTTATAGAGCACTTAGAGAAGTATAAAGTGTGCCATCAAACGCCCTCGCCCACGTACGTGTGTGGTACATACTTTGCATGCTCTGTACATACATCATCACTCTCACATTTGTAATAAGAGTATAAGGCATGAAAATGTTTACAATTAAATACCACTCAATTCACACTCTCATCTACAAAATACAGTTTAAAAAAAATCACAAAGAAACATATTGTTATTTTGAAATAAACGTAAGTATTTTTCAAAACAAAAAATACTAACAATCTTGACAATTTATTGGGTATTTATTAAAAACTGTATATTTGAAAATTAAGAGAAGCGATGGGAGCACAAATCATTGCCTTCCAAGATAGGCTAAAGTTTACCTATCCTTATTCTAGTTCATTGCCTTCCAGGAAAGGCTAAAGTTTACCTATCCTTACACTAGAAAATGTCATGAAAATGATCATTCAACGGCCACAAAGTCATTGAAGGCGATGTATTAATCAATTCATCAACAAATTGGTTTCTTAGAAATGCTTAAATGCTCTATCTCAATCTTAGGATCCTAAGTAAGTATGGGTATTTTGTTATTTTTTGCCAACTTAATTACCCATGCCAAATAATGTAAAGAGCCTTGTTTCTTATTCCAATTTGAGAACCTGTTTCTTATTTAAAGCCAAAACAAATAGATTATTTATGTCATTTAGCTTACCGCATCATATGACATAAATAACCCTACTTATCTTTGGTTCGAAACACAAAACATGTATCTTCAATTAATATATTTTGTCCTAGAGTTAGAATCTAGAATAAGCCTACTTAGCTATTTTAGCCCCATTATGCTATAGGTTAAATTATCAAAAAATAAATTTGTAGTTATCAAATACACCTGCTTGTTTAGTGTTCCAAACCTTAAACATAAACATATTTTAAGTATTTAGGAACGGAATGCTCGAAGAGGTTCTCGAGTGAACGAGCTTATTAAAGGCACCACTATATTGATAAATTGGTTGATTTGACTGCCTTAGTGATTCTTTGAAGTGGTCCAATCATTTTAATGATATTACCCCTATTTAGACCTAATTTTTAGCAAAATAAACATTTATATTACGAAAGCATGACAACAAAATGGGACGCGATTCGAGGCTCGGAAGAATTTTTGGATTTTTATAAAGTTCGAAATAATTGTGGTGTGTTGACAATATCCGCATAAATATTAGACAGTTCACAAGGAACTCCCTGCTGAAGAGGAAGTTTTTGGGATTATTCTGAACCTGGTCCCCCCTCATTTATTGAGATATCCAAATTGATCCCCTCTATCTCTCTCTCATAAGTATATAGTGGCTACCAGCAAGGCTTCCAAGGACTCATTATTTGCCACAATTTTGTAAAAGGAATAAGTTTATATAAAGATGTAAAACGCACCTAAAAAATCCATCCGAAAAAGGTAGTTTTAAGGTTGAAAAGCCCTTTGATTGTTCATCTCTACATCGAGATGTACGACCATGAAAAATAAAAAGATTTTAAGTCTCATAAATAGTGCATTTTCAAGATTTTCATATGTTTATAGATCTATATGATTTTAACTATTTTTGAAATTTAAAATTTTATAATTAGATAGAAAATAGATTTTTGAGATAATCCTAAGAACATTTTATATCAAAATTATATGTCATGATAAAATTTGAAGGTGCACCATACCTCTACAGCTACGGATGCATCCGTATGCCAACTGTATCCTTTGTGAAATCAAAATATCATAAAGGAAAAAATTTATATAACATATCAACCTTATATGTACGAGTAAAGTGTACCTAGAAAACTATTAGAGAAGATTGTTTCTATATTGGAAAAGCCTCAAATCGATCATCACGACTATGAGATTCATAGAAATGAAAAAAGGGGTTTCTAGTTCTAAAAATAGTTTATCTTCCAACACATTATTTAGACCATCCATTTTCAAGTGTTTACAGATATGCTTGATCGTTACCATTTCTGGTACTTTAAATTTCATAATTAAAAACAACAATAGATTTTCATAACATTACAAGGCTTTGCAATACCAACCCAAAGTGCACCTCAGCATAGGTTTGAGGTGCACCTTACTCCAATAGTATAAGTTTGACCCCTTATACAAACCTAAACCATATATAAATTGTTATGCTATGGAAATGGGATACTTTTTTGCTTTTGATTAAAGCAAAGTAAAACTGTATAGAAAGAAAATTAAAAGGAGGAGATGGTTTTGAAAAGACATCCTAACACCCAATGTGGAGTACTAAGCACATGAAAGTGCGATGACCCTATCTTCCTTCATCTCTCTCTTAACATTCACATAGAGACAGCATATAAACATGACCTCTCCCTCTCTCAAACACTTACTGAGACAAAGCATATAAACATTATCTCTCTCACACACACAAAAACACAATCAAAGCATATAAATCCTGACCTCTCTTTCTCTCTCGTGACAACTATTTTGGGTACATAAAACTTATATACTTCCCCTTGTCCAGCCGTTCATCTTGAATAAACGGCTGAGATGACCTCAATCACAACGTCATGTTTTTACATTATTTTATTTTTAATTTTGTTTTTATGAACTATTTTGACACCAAGTTTTGGGCGTCAACTGCTCTCTTAAACTGACACTTGTAAAAAATACAAAACAAATATTTTCAATAAAATAAAATAACCAAAATATCCCTGAAAAATTTAAAGGGTATTTTGATTATGATATCTTATTAAAAATTTCTTTTTAATATTTCTTTTAGGTGGGTCCCATTGAAAAAATGGTACGTACAAAATTTAATATTCATAAAATTTATATAAAAAAATTAAAAATAAAATACTCTGAAGCGTCAGATCTAGATCAAACGATGAGTGGGTAACTTGATCTAATGGATGGAGAAAATATATCTTTAGGGGAAATATAAAAATCTCTCTCTCTCTCTCTCTCTGGCACAATTTGACTCTCTCTCTAACACACAATGAATTAAAGCTTAGAGCTCGTGACCTTACCTCATATATCTCTCTAGGGGTGGATAAGGTTGGTAAAGAAAGTGGCGTGTGATGAATGATTGAAGCTCCAAAATCCAACCGCTCCTCCCTTCCAACAACTAACACATACACCCAAGCTTGGCTGCAAAAACCTAAAAATCCAACATGTCTCCACCACAAACAAAACCTTTAATCACTTTGCCTCATAACACTACACCTTTCTTTTCTCTCTCTACATTTATTTCTTCATTTTAACACCCATTGAATTTATTTCTCAATTCTCTTTTATTTTTATCTTTATTTTTACTAAGATATTTATTTTATTTTTATTTCTATTACTTTTTTTTTTTGCCTGGCTAGGAGTAGGCCAGGAAATTGACATGCAGCGTGCACCAGAAATCCCTGAAACACTTTATGCCTTTCATTGGATTATTCACAATAAGTCTCTGACATGTGGGGTCTTTGGCTCCTTTGGATAATATGAATAAATAATGTTTTTCTACGTACTTCTCGTATCAAAAGTTTGAATTTTATATGGACTCGGTTTTTATGAGTCTTAGGATTGATATGTAGATATGCATCACCTTTTTTATGATTCATTTTTTACATGAATTTTGGACTTGGTTTTTTAGATATATATAATGTATAACATGTAGACCATAAATATGAAAAAATGAATAAATTTTAGAAACTAAAAGTAATGATCTTTGAAGAAAACGTTTAAATAGTTGATTTTTTATTTATTTATTTATTTTCTTCTTTGGGAGAGACCACAATTCCGCTTCCATCTTTAAAGATGGACGTGTGATACCTCGGGGGACCCAAATGTAGTTATGCATCCCTTGTGCATATACCACATTTCCATTTTATATATTGTTTTCAAAGTGCGTTGGGTCATTTTCTTTTGTTATGGTTCCCACTTTATTGGTTTCTTTTATATATTCATTTATGTGAATGTTATGCATGTGATTCTTCGATGCAGCTCCTACATCTAGAATAAAAGCTCTAAATCACAAGGTTAGGGACGAGCTTCACATGACAATTAAATATGCACATGAATATATGTCCAACAAATCCATTTTTATTTGCATAAAATATTAATTTAGTAAAATAAAGAAGGATAAAATTTGAAATGAATACATTCGAGAGAACTCAAGACTAATTTTAATAGGTGGTAAAATAAGAGAAAGTAGACCTAAATGATTTGGTCATGTACAGCGATGACCTAAAATAACATTAGTTAATAAGAGTAATTTAGTTCAAGTAGAAAGCTCTAAAAAACAAGATGAAAGCTCTTAAATGACATGGATGGAAGTAGTGAGAAATGACATGATGACTTATGGCATGAACGAGAGTATAACCTTAACTAGAGCAGAATGGCAGAAATTGATTCATATAACTAACCACAAATAGTTGGATAAAGCTCAGATGATGATAACAACAATGATCATAATTGTTTTTTTTTTCAATGGGGATGGGAGGAGAGGAAGAAAGAGAGAGAGAGGTAGGTGGGTGTATTATTGTTTTTGGTGTGGGGGACTTTATAAAATACTTTGCGTATGGTTTATTATCTTGAGCTTTTATATTTTTCTACCGATCAAATTTACTTTAACATTTGAAGGTATATATGCCCCAATAAGCACACCTAAGAAAAATATAACACATTAGGCAAAACAATAATAATGACTAAAATAATCCTATAAATATCTCAAGGGTATCATTGTCATTTTAGTTTTTGATAATTTATGGGTGGTAATGGTCAGAAGAAGACACGACCAAAATTTTTGTTGAATCGATTGAAACAAGGATGAGGTTTCCATAAGGCCTAGGCTTTATGAAGACAATATAAACCGTCACCTCAAATCCTCAACTCGAACGTACTTTTGGCAATGGAAATTTATATGATAGCTCTAAAATCAATTTTCAACACCGATAATAAAATTTGAAACCAAAAAAATGATGCAAATCTTATTGATTTGTGAACACTTATTTGTAAAGTAAGATAGATGGTTTAGATAATTTGTTACAATATACACTATTTTTGGAGTTTGAAATCACTTTTTATTTTTTACAACTATAATGTTTAAGTCGAGATGATCAATGTAAAGGTTTTCCAATATTTAAGTTGTAATTTTCGATGATTAAAAAGTAAAAATTTGAACACCACTTGAGGATTGTGGTATCTGATTGAATTTGAATAATGATGAACTACAAACGTAGTAGTACGAAGATGAGCCTATAGACATTTGTAAATGTGTGTATATTAAGGGGAGAGAGAGATGGAAACTGTTACCAACAAATAAAATATGTGGGTCTGGCACAAAAGAGTTGATTTTCTGTGAAAGAACCACTTGTCCCTTTCAAATACTCTCTCCCCCCCCCCCCCTCCCTCCGAAAGAGTAAAAATATGTAAAAAGTTTCTAAAAAATTAATAAAAAGAAAAAGTCACCAAAAAGGTGAGATAAAAGAAAAACCAGCAGAAAAGCAAGCAAATGTGGAAATCAAGATAAGATATCTAGGGGTAATCTTATCCTATATGCCTGAAGAAAAGGTTTACTTTGATTAATATATGACACAACAGGACAAAAATAACACAGCTTTCCTGTCCAAGCTGGTTAAAAGACCACTTTAACATTAATATATACATCAATTATAATTTTTAATGCGTGTGGTTTCTATAAGGTTGCAACTTTAAACGATCCAATTGAGGCGCACCTCCAAATTTTATCATCACAAGCAATTTTGGTGTAAAGCATTTTTAGGTTTATCTAAAAATTTATTTTCATATCTAATTATAAAATTTTAAATTTTAAAAATGGCTAAAATCAAATAGATCTATAAATATATAAAAATCTTGAAAATAGACGGTTTAGATAATGTGTTGAAAGATACATTATTTTTAGAACTCAAAATCTATTTTTTTTGTTCATAGTCATACATCTCAATGTCGAGATAATCAATGAGAAGATTTTTCATTAATAAAACAATATTTTCAGATAGATTTTTGCGGTGCATCTTTAATTCCATATTTTAAGGTTGCAACCTTATATAAATTTTGTCCATTTCTAATTTGCTCAAGTAACTATACATTTTTAATTGAGAGAGAGAGAGAGAGTAACATTTTTTATTTCACATTGGGGTCCCATTTGTCATGGTCACCTTTTACACTACTCTGTTGGGCAAATTATCCACACTACACTTCAGCATGTCATCCTTTCTCTATTACACTTTGTTCTGAACTCTGCAATCTGCAACCCTGTAAGTGACCACATCATCTTCAAACTTCTAAAAGCCAAAACTCACTCATTTCCGATTATTCTTGTTAATGAATTAGTTATACATATTATTTATTGGTTTCTCTCATCTTTGGCATTAAAATTTCATGACCATGGTTCCTTGTCTGTGAACTTTTAAAGGGCTTAATTCACCCCAAAAATAAGGAAAAAGTTCTAAAGGGCTTCAACGCATTGACCCGCTTTCTCTCCTCTCAAATTTTCTTTTTGGGTTTTGGGTTCTTTACATTCAATCTTGGAAGAATTTCTGAATTGTGGGTTTTGGAGTTTGGTCCTGTTTTAATGCAGTGGTTCTTCTTCATTGTAGATTGCTGGGGAATATGGACGATTTGAATTTGTGGAGTTTTCAGAGTCTTTAAGTAGAAGGGAGGAGGAGTGGAAAAGAAAAAGAAATCTTCAAGAAAATAAGTAGCTAATTCGATACAGCAATGCCGGTTCCTTTGGCACCTTATCCCACTCCTCCGGTTCCATTTACGGCCCCGAATGGTAGGCACAGTTGAGCTCTTCAATTGTTTAACTGTGTACTTTTGTTATTGCAACTCTTAACCTTTTAGATCAAAAGATTTATGGTGAATTAAGTATTTCTGTATTTGATGTGTAGGATAAGATTCTCACTGACCCAACAGTCAGGATTTAGAACATTGATTTCATCTCTCTTCAGCTTCTTCCCAATTTTTATGGATAAGAGAAAAGACATTTTAAGAGTTGGATGGTTGGTTTAGTGCTGCATTTGAACATGGATGGTGTAATTAAGTATCCACCTACTAAGTTAACAATGTCCTAATGACAATTGTTGAATCATTAATTACTTTGATACAAACACAAACAAAATGTGAGTGTATGCATGTTTCTATATACATAATAGTTTCTTATGAATTATGACTTTCTTAGTAGTCTCTGTTCCCATGGACCAGCATTAAAAAAATCGCAGCCCACTTGGAACTTGCCGAGGAAGCCTGGATCAGAAGGCAGCCAATTCCGGGTCCAAAATCCCCTGAATCACCTGAGTCTGCCATTTTTTTACCATTTTGAAAATAATCTCATTAAAAAACTGCTCTGTCTGACTTGGATTCACCCGATTAAGACCAGGGGTCTGGCCCCTGGTTAGTGGGAACCTGAGTTTGAATTTTTAAGCACTTTTATGAACTTTGCTTGGCTTATGATAGATTAATACAAATGATTTGTTATAATAGGCTGAGGTGGTCATGGATTATCATTCTCATGAATCATAAGTAAGAAATTTTGTGTCCTCAGGTTAAGTAAGAAATTTTGTGTCGTCAGGTACACAGGGCCAACTTGTGTGCTCCGGTTGCCGTAACCTTCTGCTCTATCCAGTCGGAGCTACATCTGTATGTTGTGCTGTTTGCAATGCAGTAACAGCTGTCCCACCTCCTGGTTGGTTTTCTATGTTTTTCTCCATTTCCCCAAGTAATTAATTTATTTGTGTATCATTAAGAACAACTAAACTGTGGTGCAAAGGTTTAAATGAAGCACCTTTGTCTGCTGGATTCTGGTAATGAGATGCACAGCGTAATTCTTGAACTGGTTGTAAATTACTTGGTATGAATGGAAAGAATTAACAGATCTCAAAGCATAAGAACAAAGAAACGACTGGTGAACTGTGTTTTATTCTTCAATATCAATTGTTTGATTTTTCTTCAAGTTACACTAGTGAAAGAAACAAAGGAAATGGGTTTTAGTCTTCACGACCAGTTATTTGATTATCGGTTCTTTTTATAAATAAATGGAATGGTATGTACTTACTAATATTTCAAGAAGAGGGGATTTGATTCTTATTCTTGTCCATCAGTTCGTCAATTCTGCATCTGTTAAATCCATTTTATCTTCATGATAGGGACAGAAATGGCTCAATTAATCTGTGGAGGTTGTCATACTCTTCTTATGTACATTCGTGGGGCAACGAGCGTGCAATGCTCTTGCTGTCACACAATCAACCTAGCTTTGGAAGGTAAGAAAATCTTAAATTAATTGATCAGGATCTGCAAGGTTCTGCAGGCCTTGAGGAGATTGGTGAACTGCTTGGCATTCTAGACCCCTACCCCTAGGTTTATAGTTGATGTGCTTTGCATCCTAGAGAAGAAGATAGTATATACTTCTGGCTTTCAATGCACTAAATTCTCCTGGCATGTTCTTGAACACCATCCCCCACCCCCCAAAAAAATAAAAAATAAAAGCATCCCTCCTCTCTCTCTGTCTCTCTCCACACTGAGGCATTCATATTTGTTTGCAGCAAATCAAGTTGCACATGTGAACTGCGGGAATTGCCAGATGTTATTAATGTACCAATATGGAGCACGATCGGTGAAATGTGCAGTTTGCAATTTTGTAACATCAGTAGGGGTCAGTATCCATGTCTTTGAAACACAAGCATCCCTTAAATTTAGTTTTCTACTTATTTAATCTAACTGGATGTTAGCAAATTAAAAAATACTATAGCTATAAATCATTATACATATGTATGTGTATTTGGAATCGACATAAAAGAGCTTGATAGAAGATGGAAGAGCACCTAAAATTGGCCTGTGCATTCAAGGAAATTAGCCTATGTAAGCATATTTAACATCTCTGCTTTATCCATCTTTTCTATGATATACCGGCTGTCTTTTTTAATATAATCACCAAATAAGCTAAAAAGCTTTGAGATATCTCTTCAGTATCATAATATATTAAGACTAGCAAGATACTTCTCATAATATTAATATTTGTAAGAGATTAGCCATTGCCCATATATTTTTATCATTATTTTTTATTAACTTCATGCAAAACTGAAGTACGTATTACCACCAATTCATGGCTCATTGCAGGCTTCTCCCAGTTCTGAACAGAAGTTCACTAACTGAAATCCATAAGCTTTAAACTGGTATGTATGAACCTCTTGATAGAATGCTGAGATACCCATTTATTTTCTTTCAGGACCTTGAATAGTTGATTTCAATTTTATAATGATTCATGATAAAGCCTGCTTCATGTGATAGATAATTAAGCCATTGACAGGTAAAGAAGGTTTGTCTCTGTGGCTAGTCAACTTGCCAAAGGAAACCTAGGGAGCCTTGCTATTTTCGGAGAGTGAGAATAAAAGCAGTTTTGGAAGTGTTAAAGATGTCTGTTAATCACTTGCAAAGGTCGCTAATTAGTATTTGTATAGGTAAGTTTGGAAGTGGAGATAAATATTGCTGAAATGCTTGGGGTTTCGGCTAACGAATCCATGCTATTAGCTGACTATTGATCATGAGACATGGGAACATGAGATCAGAGCCTCAAAATTGCACAATTTCATGCATGTCATATAACTGGGACATGCATGTCCAAGGTTTTCAGCACGTAGTTACTTTGGGAACATGACACTCGTATCTGACACTTTAAAAGCTTGGACATGTTCAACAATATATTTTCATTGAAAGTTAACTCTAAAAGATTTTTATTGTTACCTCCCCCATCTCACTGCTTCTAGATGATCTACAGATGTGTCTGGTCTCAAATGCTACATTTGATGTTGATTTTTCTCACACACCCATCCACATCAGATGCTAATACTCCTATCCATGCCCACATGGGTACGGATACACGTACATATGAACAAAGATATATACATAGATGTAGGTCCATATATACTGCATGTATGTATGTATAGTCATTTGTATCCTTGCATCTAGTTCATACATATATGTGTGCCCATTCATTTATGCATATAGTAATACAAGTCATGACTTGAACATTTTCCCAAGTGACAACTATGCATTTTATTTCACGTGAACTATTGCAAGCATAACTTAAAGGGTGCAGTTTTCGTAGTGCCATGGCTTTACAACGTTTGGTAAAGCTGCAACTCAAAACCACGTCGCAAAATGCAGTTCCAGTGCTAGAAACCCTTTCGACAGCCTGCAAATCTATTTTTGGCCCTGCATATGGAAATTGAAACTCCAAAAGTGGTGCAAATCTGGTGGATTTGTGAAGCCCTGAAATGAATAGTCCACAAAATATGCTGCAAGATCGACCCATTTTAAGGCTTAAAATCTACCTTTATTTTCTCTTTTTCATATTTATGACAATTGAGGAGGAGATGATCAATTTTCATGTTTCCAAACTATTTTATCTGGCACAATTTGAGTCGTGGCTCAGTTTTTAATCTCTCTTCCCCACCCCTCCTCACCTCCCCCCCCCCTCCTCCCCCACACTCTCCCCCCCCACCAGTTTCTATATATCAATCTTAATCACTCTCTCTTTCTCTCTTTTTTTCACAGAAGGTAACAATTTTATTGATTAAATTCCAGAGTACAATCAATACAACAATCTCAAATGCCAAAAAACACTATATACTACAATCACAAACAATAAAAGTAGGAAACAGTAAAAACCATATCTATACAACCACGAATGCTTCCACAGTAAACCCCATTTTTGGCAAGGTTATCAGCGTCAGAATTCTTTTCGCGATATGCATGTACAAAAGTACATTCCACTTTAGCACAACAATCTTGTACCTCTCTTAGCATGTCACAATAAAACCATGGACATTCCATTTCCTTCTTAAGCCATCTAATCACATTCAACGAATCCCCTTTGACCACCAATTCCATACTGAACTCTTTAGCTAAATTTACACCTTGAAGCACAGATCTCAGCTCAGTCTCATTAGACGTTACTTCACCAATAAGACCATAAAAGTTCTTCAACACCACACTATTATTATTTCTAATGAGACCACCTGGGTTCCTGAAAGAACTCTCATCAAAATTCAATTAAATCCATCCATCTGAAGGTGCTTCCTAAATCCCCACTCTTAACTTCTTAATAGATATATCCCTGAGTACAATATGAGCATTATACGTAAGGTCCATTCTAGAAACGCCCCACCAGTCATCTTTTATCGACAACTACTCTGCAGCAACCACCCTAATCTTCTCACATATTTCATAAGTTATTTTAATAACATCTTCAAAGCATCTTATTTCTCTCCTTCCATAACTCCCACAGTTACTTCAGCAGCTTTCCAAAACATATTTCCTTTTGTGTAAACTCCTTCTACATTCCACTATGAAAAAAATTCCATCAACTTCTAAGGACATTACAGATTGCAACCCAAGCCACGCTAGACACCACTCCCAAACAATCATTGCATAACTACAGTGCACAAATAAATGGTCCGCTGTTTCTTCATCATTTATACATACATTTGGCAGTATTTTGCCTCTCTTCCTTAACACATCAATTGTTAGAATTTTCCTCAATGACAACAACTATATAAAAGCCGTTATCTCCTCCAAAGGTATAGGCAATTTCCAGATCCTTGCTAAAATAGACTCCTTCCGTGTATGTCGATCGCTTCCATGTATGTCGATCATCGAACACTAGCTTATATGCAGACCCCACCGTGAATGCTCCTTTCTTATTTGGCTTCCATATCACCTTATCTTCCATTCCTAGACAATGGTAGTGTTGTTGTAGTAACACAAGACACTATATATTCCTCAGCAACAATCTCATTTACTCGTTTATAAGAATATCTTATATCCCAATTAGTTCTTTAACCACTTCCTTCTATCATCTCAGACACCATTTTACTCTTTGAAGTTGCTTTGGCAACAAATTTGGAAACTGGGTTTCTTTAATGGTATGTCTCCTATCCACTTTTGTTGCCAAAATTTCAAAGCGGTCCCCTTTCCAATCTGCGTCCTCATATTACTCAAGAAGAAATGTCTATGTGATACAATTCCTTTTCAAATCAATGATCCCCTTTTTTTGTTATTCCCCTTTGCATGATGGCATGCTCCTTATCTATCCAATACTTTTCCCCCAAGATACATCTCCATAACTGATCTTTCTCAACCGCACATCTCCACCACCACTTGGTTAGTAACACACTATTCATCACTTGACTGGTATACACACCTTTTCTCAGCTAACCAAATTAAACCTCTTCTTATTTTCACTTTCTCCCCATAAAAATCTCCTCATAAGTCCTTCCAGTTTCTTCACCTCTCTCTCTCTCTAGTGGGATTAGGCAGGACTTTTAGCCAAGATAAATTGTATTTTTGCCTTACACTAAATTCAGATCCTTCTTATGAAACGACTGAGATGGTCAATAACAAATATCCATCTGCATTATTATAACTGAAATATAGAAAGAGATAATCACTATTGCACCAAATTTTGAATAAAACTATCTTCTTCTTTTTTTTAATGTTTTGAATAATATTATCTGAAAGGTTTTTGCATTCATGGGGAGAGAGAGAGACATATGTGGAGGGATGGATACCCATACCCGAAATTTCCCACATGCAAAATGCCAGCCTGAAACGACATTGTTGCTGAAACTAAAGCAAATACTAAACTTCCATGGTATGAAATCATGGAAATTTAGCAGGTCAGCCATCATTATGCATTACCATCATCAAAGCTTTTTCCCATCGTCAAAGCCATCGATAGACATCCATATAGAAAAATTATATAGTCAATCTCTCTCTCTCTCT